GAATTAATTTTAAATACTAAACAGAGTGGGTGGTGGAAGGACGTTCGACATGTTATTAAGAGATATCTCATGATTTTTATGACCTAAGTGTATAGATCATTTTTGCATTAAAAATATTTTTATTTTTTATAGTTTCGGTCACCAAAATGTCATTTATCATATACATCAGTTTTCATTTTTAAATTTTTTTGCATTTTCCATGAACATTGTTGAGCAAAAAATTAAGTTTGTGTAGTACCATCAGTAATAAAATATTTTGTCCTGACCGATTAGACTAGATTTCGAGGTGTCACTTGGAGGATCGCCAAACTCATTCATCACCAGAATTCATTTACGGCAACTCTCACATAAATTAAAGCAAGTCAATGTTTCCAAATTAGGTACCATGCATTTCTTTTTTAACATTATTTCTTTGTTTTAATTTAATATAAAATGCATTTCATTCGGATTGTAATTTTTTTTGTTTTTAGTAGGTAGGTAGGCGACGGTCCAGGAAACATCCCTGAAGACGATCCGAAGACATGCGACCGCAATTTTGGTCCTCTGCAGAGGGGATGGCTCCCCTGTTTTGGTAGCCCGATGATCCACGCGCAAAGTTGAGCACTTTACGGTGGAACAGTTTAACGAGGACCTAACCGCGCTTCCTCTGTCCCTACATAGACTGACCAAAGTGGTCACCCATCCGTTTACTGACCGCAGTCAGTGATGTTTGACTTCGGTGTTCTACTGGGAACCATGTCTTTACGGTCAGTCTACTGCGGGACCTTTGTTTAGGAGATATTTCATTTGACAAGACATAGTAAGTAAATACAAGTACTGCCAAAAAGAAATTTCTAATTTTTTTACAATGGGCATTTTGAAATATATTTTTCTTTGAGAAGGAAAGTTAATTTAAACGATCAATCAGATCTAATTTAAAATATATAAACCTAAATATCGATACGATCATAATTAAACGTTAGTGGTAAATTATCATCGACGAAGAGTCCTCTTACTGCTGTTATTATCTTGAATGAAACATAGAAACAAACAATTTGTAATGGATTACCATATCGATTCTCACTCATTTTTCGCCTACCTGAAAATAATAAAAACAAAAATCAGCGTAAAATTCCAACCTTTGGTTTCTTCGTGATTTTTTCCTTCTTTATTCTCCTAGATGGTTGCTTTTTAGGTGGCATGGTTTTAGAAAAAAGCTTACGTATATATTCAGTTTTCAAAGTTAAAAATTATTTATCTAAATTTGTGTCAAGCTCTTTTTTTTTAAAGCAATAGCATTGCCACTTCCAGTTATAAAATTATCGCTTTATGCTGATGTCCTCCGCGTCTATGTACTGTAACAAAGACTGAATAGTCCAGACAACGCGTTTCATGTTCTCCATGGTTGTTTATAACTTCCGGTAGAAGATTCATCTTAAAGATCAGGTAATTGTATATCAATATCTATGATAAATTTCTTAAAGTTCTTCTTTTTCATATCTTCATCTGATATGTTAAAACATGAACACACTTTTTCGCAAAAACGCGACACAAAAATAAAATTTCGAGGAACTGAGAATTTCCGAGGGCATACAAATAGACTCAGAAAGTAAAAGAAAAAGAAATAGTCACGTCAATGCTACGACGTCAGAAGATGACCTAAAGACTTCCGATAGGGTTCGTTTGTTTTCTAAGGTTAGATGGTGAATAACTGTTTCGTTTTCAATGAAAATATTAGTCTCAAAACTATTTATGCAGGAAAAAAACTAACTGTTCAGATTTTTCAGAGTACCTAACCTAAAAGGTTATCTGCTCTTTCATCGAGAAGAAGATGTGAGTAAGGGTTGGTAGGTGATATAGCGGGAGCTAATTTTCGTTGGAAATCCCCTTCAGTAGGGATTGGAGGAGGCTGAGCTCTTCTTCATTTTTCAGGAGCTCCTGAAGTTCCTTGATTATGGAAACAAGTCTGTGGGCAGAGGATGCTGGGGTGTTCTTTTTCCCTCGGCTCTTTCTACTGGGGCGGGCCTCGCCAGAGAAGTTGGAAGTATGAGTTATTTTGCAGTTGCAACAAGTTGCAGGAGAGTCTTTGCTTTTCTTGCACTGGTAGGAGTAGTGCCCTTCGGCACACTTCATGCACTTGGGTTGGGCAGTACAAGAACTCTGTGAATGTCCGTAGGCTTGGCAGCGAAAACACTGTTAGGCTCTTTAACGAAAAAGAGTCATGTTTGCTCAAACGTTTGGAAGAAAATTTCAGTCCTTATCCACCTCTACCACCTATTCGGTGTGGTGGGTAGAGGCTATACTTATTACTACAATATAGGTTTTGATTCCAGTTCTTCTAAAGGGATTGGGTGTCTGATCGAACTGTTCTTTCTATGATCATGTCTTGGTGGTTCGTAATCCACTCGAACGAAACGTCTCCAGTGTTTCCAGAGCTGGAAAATTCCCCATATAATTGGAGAGCATGGTGGGGAGGCCGGGTAATTACCATCTGCCCTCTGATTTAAATTGCAGTAGTCTAGGGTGCGCATCATTGAGTATAAAGATCACAGTGTTACAAACACTAATCTTTTGAGGCAGTATTTTTTTTGAGGGGGGGGGATAAAAATATCATTATACTGTTATAAATAGATGAAATAATGCTACATAATGTAATCTTAGGGTTTTTATTTAAAAAAAAATTATATCTCTAGAAAGCAATATTAGTTCGCGTGTACAATGCGCAAAATAAATAAACGAGCCACCCGTGAATAACTTTTGATTTAATGATCGGATCTTCACGTTCAAGGACTCAATCTTAATAGCTCGAAAAGGGGACTTCAAATATGGTAATTAATAAATGCAGACCAATATTTTACATTACGAAATCAGACACAAAAGTGTACTTTCTCTCATAAACATGCTTTTTCCCCCATCTGATTTCTGACAACCAAAATATGGAAGATACCCTCAATCTGGGAAATAGGGTCCCTATAGTTTGGTCAGGAGAGCGCTCCTAAGTTTTGACCCCTTAATGTTAATTTTTCTTTTTGCGTATTTTTGAAATTCAATTTCTCAGTAACTTATGAACTGATTTTGCTCAAATTTTGTCATGTAATATTATCTTTTTTAAAATTATGCAAAAAAATTGTATACCTTACAATTCAAAATTTTTTTGACCATTCTTAAATAAAATAATAAATATTTACCAAAAATTACTTTTTGCTTGAAATTATATTTGCATAAACAAATTTTATAATTGTGTGCAAAATTGTTTTAATTTGCTTAAAAATTTCTCGAGATATAACGAATTACGCTAATTAAAATTAACATTAAGGGATCCAAATTATAGGGACCCTATTTCCCAGATTTCAGCTACTCCCTATATTTCGGGGGTGAGAAATCCAAATTTGTCGAAAAAATATTGTATGTTTATTCAGAGAAAGTACGTTTTTGTGTCTGATTTCGTAACTTAAAGCATCGTTTGCACTTATTACTTAGCATATTTGAGATCACCCCCTCAAACCATTAAGATTAAGTCCTAGAACTTGAAGATCTGATCAAAACTTATTCAAGGTGGGGTTTTTTTTCCGCACTGTACATAATTTCATTTATCTTCAGATGTTAAAAGATTCTTAGTTTCAAATAACATATTCAGCTTACTAGGTAAAAGTAAATGAATTAATCTTGTATACAATAGGATAATATACATTGAAAACATTTTATAGTAAACATTTTATCATATGACAATAACTGACATAGAATAAATTTTATGATTTAAATTATCTAGAATAAATGTTTAGAATTTATCTCCATAATGGATGCGAAAGTAATGAGCACTTTTTTCATATTTTGTTTGGTAAAAATAAATATAAAAATTTCAGCTTTTAATTTTTTTTCTTCATAATTCTCTGCATGTTTTCTAATTTTGGATAACTGACAATAATCTTGATCAATGACTATGACATTGGTATAATTGTGTCGACAAATTTATGTATTAAAAAAATCTTAAATTTTATGGCAATAACTATTCAATAAAATATGATATATATTAAAAAAAAGCTCCTGAAGAGTGCCAATAACTGGAGTATCTGCCCTAGAACATAAAAATTATAACACTATTGTTTTCCCAAGTTTTAAAGCTAGAAATGTTAAAAGATTTTTTTCCATGCAATATTTTAATAGCTTCACTTCAAAAAAACTGAAGTTGTTCATATATTATTAACTAAATATAAGGTAATTTATGTCTTAGTAACTTTCAAGAATATATAGATAAAATATTATATTATTAATAATTCGTAATTATCAATAATAATTGGTATCAAATTAATCATTAATCATGGAATGGTTTCTGGTTGCAAGGGTTCAATATTAATACACACAAGCTTTTAAATTCTAAATTTTTACTAAATTTTAAAATATTTTATATATTAATGACAGCAAAAATTAAAAAAATCAGAAATAAATTCTTATAGGCCGAATCACAGCTCATTAGTTGGCCAGGTCAAAAGCTTTGCCAAGTTGGCCATAGTTTCGGCCTAATCGAAGCTCTGTTTAGCTGAAAATGTAAGTGACACAGCAGTACAAAAGTATATATATGCATAAGATTGTAACAATTCAGCGACATATTTTGACACATTTTCACATTATATTTTTGTGGTGGAAATCTTGACTTCGCATAACAAGCGTTTAAATTTCATTTGCTTCTCCTCAGTAAAACCGAGACTAGAAACTTTAAGTATTTAATCACTCTGTAAGATCTTTTAGTGTCCTAATAAGTGCCTTGAAAACAGCGATTATTTCCTCATCCGAAAAATTAAGACAAAAACCATTTTTCAAAAAATGGCTAAGTTTTTTTTAAGTTTACCATACAAAAAGAAAATGAAAGATTTTCTTCTTCTTATATTTCTTCTTGAATTAAAAAATATTTTATACATTAAGACAAGATTTCATATATTAATTCTTGAATTGAAAAAGAATATATAAAGAAATAAATTTCACACGTGATAAGCATAATATTGATATAATTTGAAAGCAACAAGAAAACAAAAGGATATTTTATTAGTCATGATACATAATGTTATTTAAGCAAACAATGATTTTGTAATATATTTTCAAAAATATTGCACAAGTCGTAAAAAATATATTTATTTCCAGTAAGGTGACTCAAAGCATCAGTGATGTCCTATAAAATATAATATGAATACATATCATTAAACAACAAAGCAACTATATTGTATAGAATATTAGTCAATGTCAATTTAAAAATTTTTAAAAAATATTTTTATACTATATCAATACATTTTTTTGAATAAAATGTAACTATCTGCGTGCACAGATATTCAATTATATCATTCTTGTATTTGGTGAATTGAAATAGGCTTATTTATTCATTTAATTCACTTTCACTTAAAAGATATTCCATTTTCAATCAATCAATGGCATGCCTCTACATTTAATTAGAATAAAAATGTTGCTATGTTTATTTTTTACTTATTCAACTAAGTATTTCCATTTGAAATAATGAAAAATGAAATAATAGTACTTTATTTAAAGTTCCTGTTAAGAAGTAGAAAAATAATTATTTTAAAAAGCAAACCATCTTAAAACAACAATAAGATTTTATTTATACAAGATCTTAGCTCTAATTGAAAATTATATGCGTATTTCTACATTAAAAATAAGCATATAAATAGTCCCTCTTCCATCGAGCATGTTAAGAAGAGGAGATTTTATTAATTTTCTTTACACAAAACTTCACAAACTTTCAATCGAATTCTTAAAAGCAATAGATTTTATGATATCACAATAAAATGAGTAGATTCTATAACATAATAATAAGGAATCCAATGCACAAAACATAAAATATTCTATACAAAGTCCTTTGAATTTTTTTTTAATTTAAAAAAAAAGATTTAGCAGTAAAAAATCTAATTGACAAATTTTTTTTTTATCAAACACAATGAAACTATTAAACTTTACAACTGATAAAAAAAGGATATAATTTCGATAAAAATGTTCATTTGAAAATATTTTTCAGATATGAAATTTTTTCTTCTGTTTAAAAATAAATGCAGAGTAGAGAAGTTCAGGAAATAAAAGTAAAAAGAACAACTTACCTTCGACGCGCCGCAGGATCTGAGGGAGTCATATTTTTTTCCTTTTTGTATTCTTCTTCAATTTTTTCATTCACCGCATCCCACTTCACTTCAACCTAAACAATCAACCTTTTCATTCAGTCTCATCAATATTTTTAAAATATGCACAAGTTAGAATAGATAGAATATATAAAGTTAACACGAACAGTAGTCGGAAAAACTACATTATTCTTGTAGCTTATTACAACTATTTTGTTACAAATATAGGTAACTACAACTATTTTTCTAAATGTAGTTATTAGAAACTACTTTGGAATTGTAGTAACTACTTTAAGGAGACAAACTTTAGTTAATTGTAAGGGAATTAGAAATATTTATTCATGTTTACAAGAGCCAGTTTGTTATTCCAAAACATTTCTTTCGAATTTGTTCATTTGATCTTCAATGAACAAATTCCTTCTGTTTAATGCTCTTTTATTTAGTTCTCTTTTATCTAGTAGTTTCACTACTTGTAAATAGCGCTACTTCCAATCACTGAGCATGAAAGATATATGAAAGACATCACTGTAAATTTAATACATTCAAAAATTACACATTCGGTTGCACACCAATTGCTCGCAAAATCATTCATTTTGAAGTTAAAAATCAGGATTTACAGAATGGTAACGCTAGAGAATTTTGTATATAATTGTTAACAATTTGAGCAGTAGTTTAATTTTAGAAAAACATTTGACAAGTACAAATATAGTGTCTACGATAATTTCATTTTGATTAGTTCGTATACTGCCTGAAATATGCACAATTGATCAAAGGCTCTGCAAAATAATTAATGCATGAGAAGGACAAAATACTTTAAGGTACTAACTCCAGGAGCAAAATATTATATTCTGCAGCAAGGCTTTTGATAATTACAGATGTTCAGAGCGCAAGAAAAAAAAACGATCTACCCTGAATAACTTTTGATTTTATGATTTTTAGGTTCTAGGATTCAATCTTAATGGGTTGAGAGGGTGATCTCAAATATGCTAATTCATAAGTGCAGACGATATTTCAAGTTGCGAAATCAGACAAAAAAACATACTTGCTTTGAAATATGCCTTTTTTCGACAGATTCGATTTTTTGACTCCTAAAATATAGGGGGTAACCGCAATCTGGGAAATATTGTTCCAATAGTTAGAACAAGAGAGCTCTCCAAAGTTTGGACAATTTAATGTTAATTTTACTTTTTGCGTATTTCGCTATATCTCGAGAGCTTATTAAGTGAATTAAAAAATTTTACACTAAATTATAAAATTCCTTTATCCAAAGATAATTCCGTGCAAAAAATAACTTTTAGTAAACATTTATTATTTTTTATTACTTTAATCATGAATGGCCTAAAAATTTTTGAATTGAAAGGTATAAAATTTTTGCTTCATTTTAAAGAATGTAATTTTACATGGCAAAGTAAACAATTTGAGCGAAATCGGTTAAATAGTTCCCGATAAATCAAATTTTAAAAATATGACTTTTTCAAAGCTCGATTTCTCGGGAACTATTCGACCGATTTCGTCCAAATTTTAAATGCTTATAATAAAAATGCTAAAATAAAAATATAATAAATATGAAATATGATATAAAAATATAATAATAAATATGCTATAGAAATGCTTTAATATCCCATGGAAAAAGTTTAAAGTTTTCCATCCTCAGTTGAAGAGTCAAAGTTAAAGAAAACTTGCTTTTACATTTATGCCATAAAAATATAATATTTCCCATGTTTGTACAAAATATTTTGTTTTTCTTTATATTATTAAACTCGATATTAATAAGAAGCTTTTAAAAATCTTGCCATTAACGCTTGTTAAAGGGTTAAATGACAAATGATTTTATTTTGCAAACTAAACTTGCTAAAAAATTAAAATCTTAATTAATTAAAAAATACATAAATTGTCATGAAACATATGTCCCAGTTTTGAGCTCTCTGTGCTTTAGTGCTAATAACAAAACATTCATAAAATAGTACACAATTTCATCTACACCTATTGGTGACATTGTTTGATGATATTTATCATTAAACCTATTGGTAAAATTATTAAGAATCTTTTCAACAAAAATAATTTTCTTTTTACTAAGAATTTTAAGATGGTGAGAAAATAATGAAGAACTTACTTCTTTCATTAATTGTAAGAAATTTGATTTATCTTCAGGCATGTCTAAGGTCTCTAAATACTTTTGTCTAAATGCCAAGACTGTATCAACATGATTTCCATTCTTAGCAGCAAGCTCTAAAGCTCTGAATAACAATAAAACTGTAAGTCATAAGTAAAAAAATGATATTCATGAAAAAAGGATAAAAAATATTTTTACTATGTTAACAATAAACTTATTACAGGTGGCTATTCATTTCAAAGATTTATCTTTAAATGGTGACTGGTGCACGGTTAATCTGTTTGAATCGCAAAGTCCTTTAAGTTCCCATAACAAATCAATAAAATGATTCAATTACTTCAAAACATAGTAATAAGTACACAACAATTCCAAGTAAAACTGCGTAAAAGCATAGTATTTAAGACTGAAAGAAATGATTGATTTAAAAATTACTTCGATAACATCCATAGAATTGCTTAACTTTTTCAATCAAAATAATAAAAATGGGCCGACTCAAGAGCCATGTTTTAAAGTAAAAACAAATATAAGCTTTATTTTAAGAGTAGGCAACCCAGATAGCAAAATAAGGTTTATTTTCACTCAACAAAAACCTTTTAATGTAAACCTGAAAAGGTTTGTGATACGGTTTACGTGTAAACCTTCTAACCTTAAAACAAGATCTGTGACAATCTGATCTATTCTACGCACACTACCCCAATCCAAAACCTTGGAAAGAAACCTTCTATATGAAAACCTTTAATCGAGGTTGAGTCAGCATTTTCAAGCATGGAAAAATCCTTTAATAAAGCTAGTCTCGATGTGAAAATAATCTTTAATCTAGGTAATTATAAGGTTACTTTTCGCCCGTTTAATTATACGTTTTGTATGCTCAGCTAAAATCCACCTTGTTATGAAATTTTAAAGAACAATGCAATTTGATCCTATCGCTAGCGTGTCGTCAGCTAAAACGTCATTAAGAACCTAAGTCATTATGGAACTAAAAATTATTTGTAATCCTTTTAGGATGAAGGATTTAAAACTGCAAATTTTTTGCTTTTTTGAAAAAAGGTTTTTAGGGCCGTTCAAAAAGTATGTACACAAAAATGGAGAAATTTTAACCCCCTCCCCCCTGCGTACATTACCGTACAGAAGGTCTTACTCCCCCCCCCCTTAGAGTACGTACATTTTATAAGTCTACCCCCGTTTTTCATAAAAATTAAAATAATCATGCTTTAAATAAAATTAAATATTTATTTAAAATAACTTATTCATTTAAATTATTTAAACAAAAACACCCAACTTTATCTTTGAATCAATAAATAAAACAATCTTATCTGATCAACATAATAATTTCCTACAAGCAATACAATTAATCTACAGTATTTTCCCAAGAACATTCCAAATGCTTCTCGAGAGACACCAATTCAATGTTACTCTTGTCTGCGACTGATGAAAAATTTAGATTTTCTTCATCAACGAGATCATCTTCGATCCACTCTGCATCATCTTCGTTTTCCTGGTTTCGGATAGGATAACCAAAAGTACTAGTTTTTGAGAACTGATTTACTCATTCTAACAAGTGGTCGCCGTGTGAAAAAAAAATACAAGAACAAACATATATATAATACATGTGTAGGAAAAAGTAAAATTTAAATTTGATGTATGCTTATAATGTACGCACTTTGTATAATATCTCCCCCCCCTCCCCATCGTACAAAACCGTACAAAATAGCAAATCCCTCCCTTCGGGATGTACGTACTTTTTGAACGGCCCCTTAGTACAAAAATTTTCGCGACAATAAAAAGAAAATTCCGACTCAATGTTGTCGTAAGGTTACATGCTTTCTGGGTTAGGATCATAGCATGTTAAATGGCGAGCGTCGTCTTATATCGGCGGCTTAAATCAGATTTCTGATGCATTGTCTGAAACGAAAGTCATTATTAGTCTGCCTGCCGATATACGCGATATTTTCGCGATACATCGATTTATCGCCAAGTCCTACCTACAACCCACTATAATTTTACAGCTCAGCTATTTGTGCTGTTGAAAGATAAAAAATAATTTTACAACAGACAGATGTTATTCACATAATGTTATCAGAAGACCAGTTCTGGAAATAAATGTCCGTGAAATGAGCCTACCTATCCCACCTGTATAGGCGAAGGTTGAGCATGATGGCTCTGAATGAGAGGCCTCCTCCCAGCAGCACAGACTCTGCCTCTCTCACATTCCCATTCAGGAGAGCCATCTCTGATGTCTGTAGATCTTTCAGTGGCAGTTTTTTGATGTACTGAATACACTCCACTTTGTCTGACTGAAAAGAACAGAAGAACCTCATGAGCCAGATTTACACTTTCTTATGCACTGAAACTTGTTAGGCTTCACAGCATAAGAAAGCGTAAATCAGGTTACTTTTTCAACCACTCTTGCAAATCGACCACTTGCCTACCCAGAACCAAAATATTTCTACATACTAGTAGGGAGCTAAACCCTTGTAACCTGATCACCAATCTATCTTGTATGTTGATTGCTGTAATAAGTCAAATTTGTCTAAGAGTATCACTAAATGGGATTCTAAGCTAACTGGCACAAAAAAAAACTGCATAAATTTTTTTCCGTAATTTTATGTTATGCATTAGGATTGCCCTGAGTTGATAATATAGTTTTAGTGTATTATTAGGCTAATCGAAATGGATCGTTTGGAAAGACTATTAACGTACAGTGAGCAAAATAAAGAATGAACCACCAGAAATAACTTTTGATCAAATGACTGGATCTATCTTTACGTTCTAGGACTCAATCTTAATGATTCGAGGGGTACCTCAAATAAGCTAATTAATGAGAGCAGATGATATTTTAAGTTAGGAAATCAGACACAAAATGTACTTTCTCTGAATAAACACATATTTCTTTCAACGGATTTGGATTTCTGACCCCCAAAATATAGGGAGTAGCCGCAATCGTGGAAGTAGTTAGATCAGGAGAGTGATCCAAACTTCGGATCGCTTAATGTTAATTTTATTTTTTACGAATTTTGCTATACCTCGAGACATTTTGAACGAATTAAAAAATTCGTGCACACAATTATAAAATTCGTTTATCCAAAGATAATTATATATAAAAAATAACTTTCAGTAAATATTTATTATTTTTTTAATAATTTTTTTGATAATGATCGAAAAAATTTTGAAATGTAAGGAGTACAATTTTTTTGCATCATTTTGAAGAATATAATTTTACACGGTATAATGCAAAATTGGAGCAAAATCGGTCGAATAGTTTCTGAGAAATTAAAGATTGAAAAAGTAGTATTTTTAAAATTTGATATCTCGGGAACTCAAATTTTGAATATCACCGTGTAAAATTAAATACTTTAAAATGGTATAAAAATTTTTATACTCTACAATTTAAAATTTTATCGACTTTTATTAAATAAAATAATAAATACTTATTTATTTTTTGTATTTATTTTTACCTTTGGTAAAACGAATTTTACAAATGTGTGCATAGTTTTTTCAGTTCACTTCAAACTTTATTAAGATATGGCAAAATACATAAAAAGTAGAACTAACATTAAGGGGCTTTGGATAGAACTATTGGGACCCTATTTCCTAGATTGCTTCTACCTCTCAGAAATCCAAATCCATCAACAACAAAAAAGTTATGTTTATTAAGAGAAAGTACGTTTTTGTGTCTGATTTCATAACTTAAAATATCATCTGCACTTATTAATTAGCATATTTGAAGTCATCCCCTCGAGACATTAAGATTGCGTCCTAAGATTTGAAGATTCGATCATTAGATTAAAAGTTATTCAGGGTGGTCTGAATTTTATTTTGTGCAATGTACATGACAACCTATATGTTAATTTTATATATTGTACACTAACTTGATACAAAAAACGATTAATAACTTAACGAAAAATCTTTCTTTAAGTAGACATACTAAACACCACATCACAGTAGTTTCACTGTACTCAAACATTTTCCAGAGGTCAGACAAACTTCATTATTTTTTGTAGTTAGCTGCAACCACCTCATTACAAATGTAGTTAACTACAGCTACAACTACTTTTTCTTCGATGTAGTGACTACAAACTACTTTTAAAGTGCAGTTACTACTACTTTCAGAAGACTAACTTAGCTGAAGAACTTAATTTACACTCATGTTCAAATTAATTTTGAATAAAAAATTGAATTATTTAAAAATGAGAAATTAAGACATATTTATTCATGTTTACATAAGCCAGTTTGTTATTCTAAATTATTTTTTGACGAATTTGTTCTATTCACCTTCAACTTTTCGTGCCTTTCTTGACAAGCGAATATTTAATTTAGGAAATTATCAAATATTTTCACCTCTGCGAGTGTTTAATGCTCTATTATTTCCTCTAAGAAATAAAGCGCATAAAAAATTAGAGAAAATATGTTCCCTTCCATTGAAATGTTTCATGAGCGTACATTCACATTTGAAGGCGTAGAATAAGTTGTTATTCATAATGGCTAGTTTAAATATCAGCAATATGTATAACACATGGCCACAAAAGCATTCTCATTCGCCCATTGATCCAGACCCATTAGATTTGAAAATTCGTTACAGTCAAACCTTTTTTCTCTACACTAACATTAGAAGTAGTTGCTAGAAATGGCAACAAACTAATGTTTGTTTTCTTACATTGCATGGCTCACTACACTGCTTTTTCAGAAAAAAAAGTAGCTCAGTAGCAATTACAATAGTTTTACCACATGCAGTGTGCTACTTCTGAAAACTGAACTTTCCCTACACACACTTATAAGAAACAGTAATTAAACAATATAAATAAAAATGTGAGAATTTAAATACAAGCAAAATGAAATCTTAAGATACGTAAAAAAGGCATTTAAACAGGGGACATACCGCCCTGCCAACATGCTGGAGCCTTTCTTTCGTTAAAACATACGCTTTTGATACAGAGTGAGTCTACATTGTCGAGAAAAACCTTAGTAGAGTTACAACTTACAAAAACAGACATTTCTTTGTACAGCGAAGTGTGGCTGGAAACGATGCATTAATGAAAGAATACAAAAAAAATAATAAATTGGAACAAAAAGACATTTAATTGTAACATTTTTGAACAACGTTTCCTGACGAAAATCTGCACCATACATCTTTAAATGGCAACCAACAATAATTTGTCCTGCTGTTGAGTATTGGTGGCTCGATTTAACTGTTAATTCCATGGGTAGAGGGCAGTATTGATACTAGCTCTCTGATGTATCAGCCATTCATAGTATTACAATTCAATAACTCATTTCAAAACACCTGTTCACAATTACCTGAGTGTTAATTTTGTGGAGATGATAGATTGAATAGCCCTATTGAGCATCAATGGCTTTTTAGGAGGCTCCATTAAACTCAATTCAGATCACTACAAAAATGTCTAACATATTTAATAATCACTCTCCTTTGATGGCCTTAAGATGTTTAGTAAACTATATCAAGCTTTTATATCAAGCTCATATATCATACATAGGATGATTGCCAATTTAAGCAGTCATTGTACATGTTGTCCACATATCCTTTTACAAAATATGAAAGTTTTCTTTCAATAAATGTTAATTGTAAATGTACAATACATTTATCTTTTTGTAATAAATTTTTTGTTCAGTAGGTTTTTAGTCTTTTTCTAAGTAAAAAATGAAATAAATGCACTGATTATACAGTTGACTAGAAAAATTATTAAATAATGCTTTCCGCTACATGCCAGATTTCCATTTGAAATATTCTCAAACAATAAGCAATAATATATATATATATATATATATAAAATATTTTGACAAATCAATTATTTTTTTTAATTAAAAAAATCAATCTTGTTGATTAATAATTATAAATAAGCAATACCTCTTTTATAGCTGCATAAGCAATTTCTGCTGTTTTTAGATCTTTTGATGAGAGGGACATACCAGCCAAACAAGCCCACAACGTTTCATCCTGGAATTCAAAATTATGTCAAATACTTTAGATTTTGATCTAATAACGTCACCTTGCATTTTCACATTTTATTTCATTTTTCCTAAAAATACATAAATATGCACATTTTAATCTTGTTTGATAAATGAAATTTAAAACCATTTCAAAATTTAAATTTGAAGTTAAAAAAAAAACTCTTTTCAGCAAATACAGTTTTTGTTAAATTGATTTAATTAAATTATTTATTGACAGCCACAAATCGATTTATGTAATAGTTATTTAATGAGCTAAATTTGGCTAAAATTTGTTGAAAACTTGATGACATTGCTGTCGCAAATTTTAATTTCATAATCTTTTTATGAAAAATGACGCTCTAACTAATTTTATTTTCCTGTATTTCATCGACAAGATATAATTAAGAATTGAGAACACAATAATCGTGGATGCTTTTTCATAACGGTATTGAAGAAAAATCTCCTTTGCTAAGTTATACAATGATCCAAAGTTCAGAGTCTTTGGAAGTTTCAACACAAATAAAATAAAAACAAACAAATAGAAACAGGTTGTATTTCAATTACATCTAACATTAGAGTTAATCACATTAGCATATTTAAATTACATCGATATTCTATGAAATGAAAATACAAACTTTTTTTATACTTCTACAAACTGTCAGATTCTCATCGGCTTGAAATATAAATTGAGAAATACACCTCATATTCTAAGGAAATTTCCCCCTTTCTCTTAACTTCGTTAACAAAACTATGTAGTAACTATGCAAAACGATCATTAGAAAATCTATAGAAGACAAATCTTGAAATGTGAGGTTTTGCATTACGTAGAACATTGTGAAATATAGATCACACATATCATTAAATTTACCTACTGAACATGGCAATATATATCTCGAAAAGATTATTCTTTAACATAATTTTTAAATATAAACAGCTTAAAACACAAAAATATGCACTTAAGTATTTTCATTAACAAAAAAAATGAAATTATCAGGAGCATTAGAATTAAAAATCAACAAATTTATCAATTTTGGTTAGTTTAGGGATATACAGCTTCAGAAATATAAGTTAGTGGAGGTAAAAAATTGTATTACTTAGATCTTTTATTATATATGTTACCGTGAATGATCGAAATCAAAAGAATATCGACTTTCAACGGTGACTGTCCACAATGACATAGTCGCTTTGGTGAATGTCCGAAATATTTGCTATATCCAATTTTATATTAATTTATTTGTTGCTATTATTACACTTATTCGCTGTTTTTATATCTACTAAGAATAGATTAGGAGAAACATCAGTGCTCAGAGTACTGGTTAAATATATACCGGACAGTGGCACTTGACGTTAAAAAAACATTAGTGTAGGGCATACCGGGCAGTGGCACTTAACTAGACCTAGTATATATTTTGGACACTTACCAAACCTACTACGTGATTGTCAGCATTCATTGGTGGAACTCAAAAATCATCAATCTTGGTCATTCACAGTAACATAAACATCACTCAATTTTTAAATTTTTTTTAATGAAATTATTTTAAGTGTTCTAATGATGTCAATATCTTTGATCAGTAAAATAAAAACAATAAAATTAGTTAATTTTGCTGGAAAAAAAAATTGGAGCAGCGAGATTTTCATCGAATTTTGAACATTGACTCATTATTAACAAAGATTATACTATTGGGAGACATGTAAAAAAACCTTTAATGTTGCAAGACTTACTTTTATGTATCGACAAAGCCTGACAGCATCATCCCATCTATTGGAGGCGACATAACCATGAAGGACAGAAGGGTAGGGTGAAGTAGCAGAAGACAGGATGGATCCATCCGCTCTCCTGATGTTCACGTGATTTCCCACAAAGCTCATTATTTGGGGATTCTTTCCAAAATCACTACAACAACAACAAGTACTTCATTTAGAATGTTGCCTTATAAAAATCACACACAAATTGTCTTTTTCTAGAAAAAAAATCTTTTATAAAAGTAGTATATTTATCATTTATCAGGAATAATATATAGATATGTAACATAAAAAGCTTCAATTAATCTTTTTATGTTATTCCTTTTCTAAATATCCTTTTCTTAACTTTTTTTCAAAACGAAATTATTTCTCACACTTTTAAATTCACATCCTGTCCTTCTATTTTGACTAATTTATTTTTGGCTCAAGTATGTATTAATTAAAAGTAAGACATTTTCCTCCTTTGCTTTTTGTGGGAATCGCGCGATCTGTTTAATAAACCAATTATAATTATTAAGATTTCCCTTATTTCCTAAAATGTACTTTGCAAGATTTTCCCTAACTTATAATGAGGAGCACAACTTATCGTTACCACTCTTTGATAAACGTTCCATGTCTAATAATTAATAAATTAATTTTGTATCCTCCTTCCCTGTCTAAGACCTGTTTTAATCCTTCCACTCGGCAACGACGTTATATATATATATGANGCGCGTGGTGGCTGCACCAAATACTGATTTCGGACGCTTAATTTGTTTCTTTTGTTTTGAAAATTTCATCATTTATTTGTATCAGTACAAGTCGTTTCTGCATTAAATTTCATTTGATTCTGATGATTCTTTCATGGTGTTGCATTTTCTACAAACAGCAGTTTATATCTGACATTGAACAGCCGACCTACTTTTTGTGCGACTACTAACGTTCAACTTCGTAGCCTTGTAACTTTGAACCCATTCCAGAACATGAGGGATCCACTGGATCAAGCATTGGGAGACATTTACTTTCGTGGAGGACTTTTCGATGGAACTAACCCACATTTGCGTTACACGGAGAGGAAAATCACGAAAACTTCCCACGGTTAGCCTGATGGCAAGGAGACTCTAGCCCATAATCCATCTATCACTGAGAATATGTTATGTCAGCACCATGGTCGGTGTGAGCCAGGTGCGGAATTCGTATTGACCAACCATCGCTGGGGTTTGAACTCGGTTTAACACATTGAAGACGAACGCTCTGTCCCCTGAGACATCATGGCTCAAGAATTGTACACAATTATAAAGACTGAATATCTTGATTAAATCTGACAGTTTCTAGGTCGAATATGCCTCTGAATCTTAGCTGCCCAGTGTTACCATACATTTTATAACACTTCAAACAAAAGGTTTAAGTGGTGATAAAAATATTATTTCTATTATATTTCTAGAAGAAATTATCCTTGTCAAGATAAACTATATAAAAAGTACATTCTAATTTCGAAATTTATTCGAAAATAGGTAATAACAATGAAGAATTATTTGTGCACATACTTATGCTTTTTATTTTTTAATGTTCTTGTTCTGTAGCTTCTTATGGTTTCATGATAGTTCCCAAACAGGACTTCCTTTATAACATAAAAATTTGAAAATAGTTTGATGCAAAACAACAATTAATAACTTAAAAATGTGTAATTTATTTGTAATCAGAAGAGAGATGATAAGGGGTAATTATGACTCCTCAAAAGGTTTCACTGTTTAGGAATATGGGAAATTGGGTCTGACATTCCGCAACTGTAGATCATAGATTTTGAACTTTTTTTGGATCACCAAACCCCTTTGTAAGACAAAAAACCTACAAAATTTTAATATCCCTTTAAAAAAAAAAAAAAACAAGTTAATAATAACGATAAAGAAATGTTTTTTTCATCATTCAAAATCGATTTATATTTTTGTTATAATACAGTTTTAAAATCTTGCCTTTAAGTAAATGAACATACATCTAATAACCAACGCATTTATTTTGGTAGCAACATCATCATCAATGATTCCAGGGTGTGCCTTGGCCTTCTCAAGAAGTTTCTTCCAGGCCAACCTTTTTCCTGTTAGCGTTTTCCAATTTTTAATTTTTAAGACCAAAAGGTCTTTTTCTAGGCCATTTATGCATCTCAAATTTGGCCTGCTTTTTTTTGTGTGGCAACTGGTCTGGCATTAAAAAATCTTTTTGTCGTAGTCTTCATTGGTAACATATTTTATATTAATTTTGATGAAAATAATTCAGATAATGTGTTTGTATCCAAATTAATTGGATAACTTTAAAGTTAAAACTAAATAATATCTTTCCTGTTATATCAAAATATACAAATTATATGTCATTTATGAATGCAATCCGATCAAAGAGCAATCCCTCACATTTTTTTTTTAGCACAGCTAGTATTAAATGAAAAATACTTAAAAACGAAGTTAAAAATTGGAAAGCCAAAAATAATTACATTATGATAATATTCCTTTGAATTTATTAAAGAAAAGAGTTTTCAAAAACTAAAAAAGAGTTCGCAAAATATTTTTCAAAGACTTCATGTGATCATGATAAACTAACTAGTTTCTGACAAAGAACTCCTTCCTTCTTGATTATATTATACACAATTTTCAATATACTCAATATTGAGTGGCTCATTCCATTTTTAAAATTAATAATTACTTTATTTAATTAGGTTAAGGAAATTTAATTCAAAATTATAATTAATTTAACTATTATTTAAAAAGGTTATTGAATGTATTTTTCACATTTAAAAAGTTATTTATAAATGCATAGTTAATAAGACTATAACAAGATTAATATTATTGATTATACAAAATGTAAATTAGTGAATGGCCTCTAATAAATTTTTCAAAAAAGTTGTTACTTAGTTCGGTATTTTCTTTTGAAGAAATGATTAAAAAAAATGTAAATAATTTTTAAATGTAAATATAATGAGTATTGAACCTAAACATTTCTGCCAAAAGTAAATCATTATATGGTTCCTAAACTCATAATATTTAACAAATTTGAGATAATTGAATTTCTTTATTTCAAGTGTGTTTAAATCAAGCCAATAAGAGACAAATTAAATTTTTTTGGAATGACAAATGTGAATAACATAAGATTTTTTGCTGCATTCAAAATAGTGAAAGCTCCTCAGTTCATACTTTTTTAAAATCTTGCTGCTAAATATTATTGAGTTTTTTCATAAAACATCTTAAGAGCACTGAAAATTTTAAAAGTAATAACACAATACTAAAAAGTAACAAGTAATAATAAAACAAATTATTGCTTGTTACTTAATAAAAATTAATTAAGTACAATAAAAGATAAAAACAATTTATGCAATTAGTAGATGGTGAAATCTTAGAATTAAAAATCTGAATCAATTCTTATCTTTATTAAATTAAGTGAATGAAAAGGAGATAAAAATTTTAAGGTGATGAAGTTTTGTAATTTTTTATTGTTCTGGGGATTTACATTAAAATACGTAATTAGTGAATGATCCCCAAGTTAAGTTCAAGGATAATGATAGTGATTTACAAATAAAAAGCGCCAGAAGGCCATTAGCTTGCCAGTGATGAAGACAATGGCACTTCACCAACAATGAAACTAAAAAAAAATACAATTTTCCTTTGCTGTTAGAGGAAAAAAATTGGCAATATTAAGTTGATCACCTTGATCAGTAAAAGTGCGAGAGATTTTCCGATTCGATTCCAAAGGTCTGAAAATGAAGCCTGAAGTTAAGAATACCTTGCACAATGCAACAGAGTAACGTATGAGAGTGCAAGAATCCTTCCCACCGAATCCAGCTCAGTGTATGCACATGAGGAATCGTAAGTATTTCATCAAACGTGTAAAATGATTGGTACTTTCATAATCTACGGACAACGATACCCCGAAATGGATTGGGGTTGACTGAATTGTGAAAACGTTAAGTAGAACAATGTGACGCATTTTGCATAATTCGTGGCAAAAACCGACATGGTAAAGATAAAATATCTCATTTTGGAAAAGGGAAAATTAAGCATTTTTTAAAAATAACCAATAAAAAGAGTACTTTTAAGGGCTTTTAAAATTAAAAAAATAAGCCCCTTTAAGCACTTTTAAAAATGCTATGCACCCTGAACAAAGAAAATTACTGTAATGTCTTTTATTTATTGTTTGATATCTAAACAATCAACAGTTTAGTTGATGGAATGAAAAAAACAAACTTACGAGTTTCAACGATAAGAAGACCATTCGTGAGCACATTACCTAGATTAATAGTGTAACTCTTGATTTCACACCTTAATGGATTACCCTAATTAATCTACAGATTAGCTCGGTATTGAGTAGATTAACGGTTTTAGTGATAACATATAAACTTAATAGAATAACCCTCTCACTTGTCATCCTTCTGCATGAGAGTTGTAGCTAATAAATTCTTATCGGCAAAGACGACTGCTGGGTAGTAGAAGATCATTAACTTTCCATCCTGAAGGGAAGCCAACATATTTGAGTTATCATTCCATCGAATTGAATGCATCATTGTACCTATTGAAAACTTATGGATTAGTTTATTCATATTATAGCATAGTTTTAAAATGTGTTCAAAAATACATTAGTATTTGGTATGTAATAACTTTCTGCACTTATGAAATGATATTTCACAAATCTTATGATATTTTCAGATTTTTCAGAAGGCAAATAAAAACAAAGGAAAAATGTAACGCTATTTTTTAAAATTTTTTACAAATTTATACAGCTAGCTGTTAAAGATAGGTTTTTCCCCAAAAAAGAAAAAAAAACATGATAAAAATAAAAATCCCACCAATAACTAATTTAAATTAAAAAAAAAAAACAATCTCCCAAACCACATTTTATTTTTAAAATTACAAATACGATTTAGAATCTAAAAGCTCATTCCATATAAAAATAAAATGATCGTAACGTGTGTACCGGGTTCAAATCCAAGCGATGGCTGGTCAATACTAATTCCGCATCCGGCTTACACCGACAACAATGCTGACATAAAATATCATCAGTGGTGGACAGATCATGGGTTAGAGTCCCCTTGCCATCAGGCAAATCATGGGAGGTGTTCGTAGTTTTTTTTCCATGCAAGGCAGATGCAGGTTAGTTCCGCCAAAAAGTCTTCCATCAAAAGTCCACGAAGGCACATTTCTCCCAATACTTGATCCAGGATCTTCTGGATTGGGCTCAAAATTACAAGGTTACGGAGTTGAACATTAGAGGATGTAAATCCAAAAAATTGGGTTGGCTGTTCAACAACGGTTATAAAATAAAATATAAAACTATTTAAACATTAATATATTCCAAATTGTACTTTCATGATTTATTTTCTATACTAATTCAATCAAGATTATATTCATAGAATTTAACTAATTATAAAGTATCATATAATAACATAAAGCATCTAAAAAAATTTTAAAATGTCGATTTTAATAAATAAAAAAAAAATCAGGTTTTCTGATTTGAGATTAAAAAAAAACCTAAGCCCTGATGGTGGCAATATTTTAAATTTGTCATAGATATTAAATGCACATACTTGAATATAAATGCTTTTTTTTCTTAAGTTTACGATATTTTTCAATCCATAAATTTAAATAATAACAGATGTTAAATTTATTTTACGTAAAGGCACTTCAATTTCGGCAAATATATAGGTTAAAAATTGTCTGAAGTATAAAAAAAGTCTTTTTTTAGTTTAGCTAAAAATTTAAAGTTCTTACTTAAAGAAATTTTCTTATATAAATTTAAAGAACAAAATTTAATATTTATTCCTCTGAATAATACTTACTTCATTATTTAGAAGCATTGATTGTAGCATTCTCAATCAAACAATAAGATTAGTAAAAAAGTCAATATCAAAAGGGATTTTCCAAATAACTTTTCCTTTTTTAGAAATTTCTAAAGCATACGGTAAAAAAAAAAGAGAGGTTGAAGAATTTAACTTAAAAACTAACATGATTGTGAAATGATTAAGTTCATTTTCTTGTCTTTGTATGCATCTTAGCTAAGTGCCAAATTATGCAGAAAAAAAAATCTCTGTGACTAAACGTGTTTCCAATGTGTAAGTCAATGTAAGTGATTAAAAAGTTGACTTATACAGTAGCAAATACAGTCCAATAGAGATATATATTCTACTTTATAACCATCATTGAACAGTCGATCCAATTTTGTGGGTTTACGACAACCCGTGTTCAACTCCGTAGCCTCGTAATTTTGAACCCAATCCAGATGACAAGGAAACTCCTAGTTCAAGTATAGGGAAAAATTCACCTTCGTGGAGGACTTTTTGATGACACTAACCCAAATTTGCATTACATGGAAAGGAAAATCACGAGAACCTCCTACGATTAGCCTGACGGCAAGGGGCCTCTAACCCATGATCTGTCTACCACTGAGGATATTTTATGTCAACACTGTGATTGGTGCAAGCCAGATGTGGGATTTGGATCGACCGGCCATGGCTGGGATTAGAACCCGGATCACCTCATTGGAAGGTGAACGCTCTATCATCTGAGCCATCATGGCTTAATAGAAATATATAAAACAATTTTGTTTTCTTATATTTATTTTATGCTTCTAATTATTGAAATATCTGATATGGGGTCTCACCAAGCTTCATTATCTTTTTTGAGGCATTGGGTAAAGCTCTAACATTCAACAGGTACAAATCTCTGTTCTTATCAACAATTGCCAGTCTTCTGTTGATGGATGGACCACACTGATCTAGTGCAACCTCTAGAACTTCCATCTACAAATAATAAATATCATTTCTCACAACTACCTTTTTCTACACATTCTGAACTATCATTAACATTTGATTTTTCTCAGAAAAAAAAATAAAAGACCTAAATGTAACAAAAAAATAGTCATATTTTTTTATGATGCATTTTAACATAAATTTCCTGAATTTTCAATGTATTGGTGTTTATTCTAATTTCTTAACATACTACTTACAATAGATCTGTATAGCATAATTTTTGCATAAATTGCATTAAATTAACATTCTCTAAAGCAAAATCGATAAATTTGTCGAATATCAGTTGTAATGCCCTTGATAATGTAATTTTTTTTCTCCAGAAAATAATCAATACCTTAGCACATATTGTGTTGTTAAAGAATTAGTATTCATTACTGTAGTTATTAGTCATGATTTGAATCATCAAAGCTATTTCTTGATTGGTATAATCATCTCGGTTTGTTTAAAATCAATTGAATGGAAAAATGTTTATCAGGATGTCTAATCAGGAAGAAATGTTTTAGATCAGGTAAGTCAATTAATTCAAATCTAAATCAGTGAGTTGGGTCACTGATCCTGAAGATCATTATTTTGTTTTGTAAGTCAATCAGTAAATATTCATGAATGATTAAAACAACTGAACCAAAAAATTAAGAACTAAAATAGTTTTGAAACTGATCTGAATCTATCAAATACAAATCATTCAAATCACTTTATGATTCACAGCAATGCATAGTATCAAACACCAAAAAAGCAATTTTTTTTTCAATTTTGAGAATACTGCAGCACACCCTGTGCTTTGATGTATTTCTGTCTATCCCCAACTGCAACTCTTCAAAAAGTTAATGTTTAAATTTTGTTATGGCAAGTTAAGATTCATTCCAATTAGATTGATTTTATTTTGTTATACAGTAGATGCTTAATTTTACTACACTCATAGTCCAGGTGATATTATAATGTGAGATTGCTGCATGAATGGACAAAAATGCTGTAAATATTAACTCATAGCTAAGAAAAAAATACTTCAGCAAATTTTAACAAGCAATGCTTCACTTTAATAAAAATTATATAACTAACAGAAGAACTTACAATAAGATAACTATTTTTTATATTAAGATATGCATAAAAGTATTCTTTAAAATAATACCTAGTAGGTTAAAAGTGCATTAACCATTGCCATTTTCAATAAATAACATGTGCCTCAAAATAACTGCAAAAACTACATGTTTTAACTCAAAAATGAAGCACACAAAGGGACTGAGATTTAACAAAATACAATTTCATAACAAGAAAATCAAGATTGATATAATTATTGATTTTTTAAAAAAAAATGAAGTTAGAGTGATTATGAATGACCATATATTATGACCATCTAGGACACGCCACCCTTCCTTCATTCAAAGGTGTTTTATATTCATTTTGTATTAACATCTAAGAGGATAACAGTATGAAGAGTAATTTCTTCAAAACCTTTTTAAAATCATAAGATTGAATTTTGTTCCCTATATCAGAATGGTGGTTGTTCTAACGTACAGTGCACAAAAAAAGTTAATGGTTCTTCTATGTAACTTTAGATCTAAAGATCGGATCTTCACGTTCTACCACTCAATCTTAATGATTTGAGAGGGTGATCTCAAATATGATAAATAATAAGTGCAGACAATATTTTAAGTTACTAAATTAGACAAAAAAAACTTACATTCTCCGAAATATGCCTTTTTTGTACGGATTCAGATTTCTGAGCCCTAACATATAGAGGGTGACCACAGTCTGGGAAATAGGGTCCCAATAGTTAGAACAGGAGAGCACTTCTTAATTTGGACCATTTAAAGTTAATTGTACCTTTTGTGTATTTCGCTATATCTCGAGAGATTTTTAAGCGAATTAAAAAAATTTTACACTGAATTATTAAATTTGTTTATCCAAAGATAATTCCGTGCAAAAAATAACTTTTAGTAAATATTAATTATTTTTTATCATTTACTTTAATAGTAGAAATAACTTGGATTTGTAAGGTATACAATTGTTTACACCATTTTAAAGAATGTAATTTTAAATGGCAAAATAGAAAATTTAAGTGAAATGGGTCGAATATTTCCTGAGAAATTTAATTTTAAAAAAGTCATAAACTAAAAATTCAATTGTTAGATCATACGTTATTCGGTGTGGTCCATTTATTTTTTTGTGCACTGTACAGTAAAATAGCATTGCATTTCTGGAATAGCAAACTAGATTTTATACATTAGTCATTATAATGGAAAGGTTGCTGAACTGGGTAGTCATACAAAAGATTACAGACAGAACTAACGTTATTATTTTGCTTAAAAACTCTATAAGAGTGAACACAATAATATCACATAAGCAAATGATTATAAAGAAGACTTGATTAAAAAAAAAGAAGTCTCATTTACTTTATGAGTAAAGGGTTTTCCGTCTGGTACATATTTCCCAGTCACAGCATCAAAGATATGAATAACTTAAAAAGAAAAAAAATACAAAACATTAATACAAATATTCTACTCATACTTGCATAAGAAAATTATCCTAAATGATGGAAGCAAAGACTCACTTTTCTCATCCCCTTTGTTCCTCACAGCAACTGTATCATTACTCAAGCTAACAGTGGATTGGTTAAGATAGTCTGTACGCATGAGCGGCCACTTGGGAGAGCTCACTAGGCGACCATCGTAGTTATAAATGTACATACTCTGACCATCCACAAACAGAAAATGCCTGAAAAATTATGAAGTTTTTTATTTTAATTTTAGAATTAAATTTTTTTAAACAAGATATGCATAGAAGCAAAACTCAATTTCATTTCTAATTGTAATCTATATAACTATTGCTCAACTTCATTTCTTATTGTAATATTTGTGAAATTTCTATGTTTGGGAAAAACAATATAATGAAAGACATGTTAAAATTCTTAAAGAATGTATAAATTTTTTCGTTAAGCATTTTAACATTGCCTTCATTATATTGTTTATCCCAGATCTTAAAATGATTGCATCATTAAATTATCTAACTCAGAGGTCATTCAAACATTACGTAAGCACCTAAGGTTTGAGCTTATTTTTCAAGGAGGAGAAGTATGGGAAAAGCTTATATAAGACATTAAAATCACAATACGTTTAAAAAATTAATTCAAGTGCAAAAAAAAAAAAAAAAAAATTGGAAAAAAAAAATTCTCGAAAAAAAATTTCTTGAAAAAATAAACATCAAATTTGAAATAAAAGTAGGAAAAACATTTCTTCAAAAGTCGACAGTTTTATCCACTGAAAGAGAACACAAATGATTTCTAAAGAATATTCCACTAAAATTTTTTAAAAAGAATTGAAGCATGATTTTTTTTGCGCAAAGTTACATCTTTTACTTGAATTTAATTTTAAAATTGGAAAATTAGATAACTAGAGTATTGGATATAGCATAAACAAAGGACTGTTGTGATTTGCTGACAAAATTACTTTAGCTACCAGAAGGAGTCTAAAATTGCCCAAAACATACAAGCATAATATTTAAATGGCTCCTCATAAACAAAATAACTACCCTTTCATAACAAAATAACTACCTAACTCATAAATAAAACTACCCTTTGGATAGTTTTTAAATCTGGGCATAGCTGGAATGTGTGTTTATGAAAAAGGCCACAGCTCAAAACGCATTTACAAAAAGGGACGCACCTCAAAATGCATTTTTGCGAAAATATACAAAGCTCAAATTGTGTATTTACGAAAATGGACAAAGCTGCAAATGCATTTTTACCAGAATGGAAAAAGCTCTTTGCATGTTAAGGAAGAAGAACACAGCTCAATTACCAAAAAGAGTCACAGCGAAAAATTTACCTTTTTCAGTTTTCTATCCGAATTTAACAACTAAATGAGGAACTGCATGCTTACCTTTTCTTACTTATTTAAACGCTAAGCATAATCATTATGGGGCAAAGGCTCAGACTTTGAGGTCTCTAGGCTTCAAGGTTAGCCTTTCATATTGAAAATGTGAGATTGAAAATATAAAAATATCAAACTATTTTGCTGAAACCTTTCAAAAACATATCATGCACATGCCCAGTTAGGAATAAAAACTTACAAAGTAACTTACTTTTCAGCTTGAACTACTAAAGAAACATTTCCTTCCTTCAAGTCAAAAATTATGGGAGTATTCCAATTTTTTGTGCTAGAGAGTGAAAATATAAAAAAGAAATATATATTTCTAAATTCATTATAGACATTAAATTTTCGATAGTTACAACATATTTTTTATAAAACATACAGTTTTAAATTTAATATTCATTCATTTTTAACTTGATAAAAATTGTCAATCTATAAATAAAAAGTAGAAAAAAAAGAAGTTTCAGAATAATTGCTAAGAAAAAGAGAGCATTTTTTAATTAACTTTCAATTTGAATCTAACTTCATTAAGCAGTAAATAATACTTAATTACGTTTTCTAAAGCAAGCAATAAAATGATTATTTTTACGGAAATAAAACTAGAAATGTAAATAGGAAAGACCTAATAAAACTGACCGTCGAAACTTAAACTGACGAAACTGAAAATTTTAACAGAATTAGTCAACTAGTGCTTGAGAAATAGAATTCAATATTTCTTCTCAGAAACTATTCAGCGAATTGGGCTTAAAATTTCGTATTTTGTTATTTAAAATTAAACAAAATGTACATGATAATTTACAATTTAAATAGTTTTCAATTGTTTTAAATGAAATTGTAAATACTTGTTCATGTCTTTTTCGAGAAAGTCGATCCATCTAGGACGAGATCTGACTCTTGGTCTAGTTCCTATAAGCCTAGCCAGAAATAGTTTTCGGCAGTTTCGATTTTCTTGTATTCTAACCAGATGTCCAGCCCATTTTATCTTTTAAATTTTCAAGTATTTCACGACATCAGGCTCTTTTAAACATTTTTATATAAATCTAAATTTATTCGCCGTAAACTGTCCACCTGAGTATTAGAGTTGCTTAATGAATACCTGTAAATGTAACACTGTGTTGAAGTGAGAACAATGAGGTGGTTGTATTCAAAAGACACTTTAATGATGTTATCCCTGAAGTCTAAATTTTCCATTAAATCAAAGCTCACATTCTGTACAGTAATTGTTTTCCTTCCTCTCACAGTTGCTTCAAAGTGTTTCCACTCCAGCCTCCTAAAAAGTGAAACATTTACATGCTTTTTTTTCTCCTTAGAAATTATGAATTTAAATCATTTAATCTTTTTTAAATACGTATGTAGAATTTAAGAATCCGGCTGGGTAGGACACAATTGTTTTGGAAACAGCTTTAAAGAAAATTTTAATTTTATTTTCAGTAAGATTATAAACGAAAAATCCTAAGTTATAAATTTAAAAAATTTATAATTAATTTAAATGAATTATTTTTATTTATAATTTAACTAAAATTATAAATACAGTTCATAAAAAAAAGGTTAAAATCAAAACATATTAAAAAGCGCTAATAAGCGTTATAAATAAACATTTTTGGGAGTTTGCTTCCAGTTTCAGTTTAAAGCATAAGAACATTTAAAGCATCCAGTTCAGCATAAAAGAAAAACAGCCATAACTTTATTTCTAAAGATGAGAACAAAAATTTAGAAAGCAAATAAACCAAAGTTTGAATTTAGTCAATTTAAAAAAATCTAATTTTCTTTCTGAAATACTTGATTTTTACCCAGTCAGAGTCAAAAATATTTTTAAATGTTGATAAATAAATACAGATTTTTAAGACTATGTTTTAAGTCTAATTTCATTAGTAATGAAGGTTTTATCTAAATAATAGACAAAATTCAAATAATAATGTAATAATAACTTTGCTTTGATTGCGTATAGAAGAAAGTTTTATTTCCAATAAATATGTATTTAAATTGTACCATTTTAGTACTTTGTCCATTTAAATACAAGAGCTGCTAAAACTTAGTAAACATGTAACTAGGCCACATATTTAGATATTGAAAAATTAACATATTCCACCAGGATTAATTTAGAACAATGATTTTTTTTTCTGATCTAAGTCAAATTATTATTTATGAGGATTTTGAACTTAAATAAAAATAATTTTCTTAATAATCTTTAATTCAGTGATCTGTTTGTAAGAATTAATTATGCAACAATAATAACAGCTTTAGTTAGAAATATTAAATATTTTATAGTTGTTCAATAATATTAAATATTATTAATGCATACAATCCGATATATAATTGTTAAGAAAAAGACTTAAAAATAAAAAAAAAGACTTAAATATAAAAAAATTAATTTGAATTTTAAAAAAATGATATTTTTGATTATTCAAAAATATATATACATAACTTTTACCAACCCTATTGCCTTTGTCATGTTAGTTAAAAACATAAAGATATTATCTTTCAGGATAAATTCGTCTTTTTAGAAAGAAAATAATTCAAAAAAGCAAATACATATTATTTTTTATGCCTCAATCAGCTATAATTTTGCTTCTGATTATCAAAAATATTCCAGAAAAAAATTGCAGTTACATGAAATTTTTGTCAAACGAAAAATAAATTAAATAAACAATTAGAGATCTGGAATACACAATTTCTTTTCTACCTCTCAACAACATGAGCAAAGATGACATGTCCATTTCCACAAGCACCTGCTACTTGTGTTCCATCTGATGACCATTCCAAACAAAATAAACTTTGTGTTTCAGGTTTGTCTAAACTATGAGACCACTGCAAAAAGTATAAAATAATTTTATGCAAAATCAAAATAAAGAGACTCATATCTAATTAGTAACTATTCATTCTCTATGTATTATTTATTCAGTCTTTCAATTACATTTTAACAAAATTATAAGCAATTTAGGATACTAACTTATTTTTATTTCTGATCCTAGTACTAGCTCTGATTTGCTTTTTTAAGGTGAAAACTAATTATGATAAGTTATTTTAAAGCCACTGGACAAAATAGTTTAGATGTATGATTTTTTATGCTGGATAAATTATTTCATTAGTGAAACTATTAATTTGTAGCATTTATTAAATAATTTTTAAGTTTTAATTGACAATTTTAAAAAGCAGTTATATTTTTAGTAAGTATGTTCTATAAATGGACACCCCCAATGAATGAATTAGACTTTATCGCTATGAATGATAAACAGCCTTCTATCTAAGGGTCTATAAACAGCCATATAAGTAAGTTCTGCTTTGTAAGCAGTCATCCCTACAAAAGAAAGAAAGTTAGTAAAATAATTTATTTCTGTTTGCATGTAAAGTCCAGAAAATATTACTAATATCAATACGATTTTTAAAAATTTCTTAATTTCTTCATGATTTTAAATAATAATCAAGCAAATTTAATTACTTTTTTCATAAACTTCTTTACTTATTCTGGGTGTTGTTTCTAACATGTTTCGAAATTCTATTATTATTATTAAAGTGCTTTTTCTTCTTCATAGATAGCAATATTGAGTTTTAAATTATTATATTTTTACCAATTACATTATACATAGACAGCTAAAGGCTCATTATTTTTATATTTACTTCTTAGCAAATTTTGTTAACTGTAATAAGTAAATTTATTTTTAATGTATTTTTTCTTTCACTTTTTAGTGTCAAGTTGGTTTCCTTTATTTCGTATTTAATTTTAAAATTCATAAACAATTACATTATTATTTTGTTTCTTGAGGCCTACATGCATTATAAAGAATAATTTTTATCTTAGGATTATTATTCTTCATTTTGAAATACCTTTTTTTGTAAAGGAGTCTACCCTGAAGAGAAATTTTACGTAAATTCCATCAAATACTTATTACACTTCTAACTAAATTATGTGCTGAATTCTATATATATATACATATACAGGAAATGTGAATAGGATTTCAAATTATTAGCCAGTAAATTAGCCAAATATCAAAAGAATATTCTTCAATTTTTTAAAGTCTTCGCCAAATACAAATCTTAAAAAGATTTTAGGATTAATTTTTTTCCCATAGAAAACTATTTTACGGTAGTTTATGTCAGGCTTATATTATTTGGACCCAATTCAAATTGGTTATGTGACGCATCTATCGAAAATTACTGTAATCGAATACAAAATACTGACTTGTTTAGAAAAATTCATTTTGAGGATCAAGTTAAATATATATTTTTCTTTCAAATGGAAAAAATTATTCATCAATACTTTCACCAAAACACAATTTTATTCGTCAAATTTACAAGTTTATTGCATTTGGCATGGCAGCGAATGCTTAGCCCGGGCCCTGTATATATGTATTGATATAGCTCAAAATCCAAATAGGGATAGGTTAACTTGGTGTTGAACACTTAAGAAAGTAACAAGATGAATATGTGCTTAACTGTGTGTCATTTTGTGTTCAGACATTGAGGAAGGTTCCTGTTTACAGAACTGAAACTATGTTATGTCCATTTTTGTACTTTTATTTGTGCTTTTTTCTTATTGTTTTATTTCATAAATAAATATGCTATTCATATTAGATATCCTAAAAATGATCTAGGATTTAAATGATCAGTTTAAAAACAAATAAAAGAGATAGAAATGTATGGTTTGTGGCATTGTGGTTGAAAAACAAAACCCAGTAACAAAGAGCATAACTTTTAAGGTATAAATTATTCATGACTAAATCCAGTATGTGTAACTAACACATTAAAAGTTACAAAACTACTACAGTCATACATTTTTTCAGCAGTATATTTACTACAACAACTACAACTAATTTTTTAATCTGAATAATGAAGACTTTACTCGAGTCTATAGACAGCTATAACAATGTCCTCAAAGTACTATACTTAATTTTTAAGTTTTAAACACATAAAATCTATAATATTTGATAATTTTCTAGCATTTTTTGAAAAAAATAATTTGAAAAAATATCCACTGTCAAGAAAGGTTAAGGTTTCAAGTTAAAGGATGACAGAAAAAAAAAAAAAATTACGAAAATAAATTGGCTTATTTATTGTTCCAATAAAATTTTTTACAGTTTTTTTCTTTCAATATACAACTTTACTTAACTTTGAACATGAATTTAAACTGAATCCTCTAGCAAAATTCGTTTCCTAAAGTCGTTAAATAGTGACTACATTTCAAAAGTAGCTACTAATCATTACATTTAAAGAAATAGTTCACGATATTTGCAATAAAGTAGTTTAGTTAACAATAAAAAAATTTAGTTTTTGTGACCACTAATGCAATCTTATATTATTCTTTCTGTAATAAGTGACTATACTTTTGTAAATAGAATAAGCATCTCAAGGTTAAGTAATTCTCCCACTTTCTATACTTTTCTACTCTCTCTTACAGTGGTTCTACCACACTATAGTGATGCATGTTATATGATGTTAGGAAGAAATCAGCTAGTTTAAACATACTTACGCCAGTTCTATCACACAGGCGTAGAGAGTTAAATGATCCAACACAAAACATCTCCCCATTAGGAGACCAGGAAACAGAAGTAACAGGATAATCATTAGCATGGCTACTGTACAGAATTCTGCCATAAGAATCCCATACCTTTAGAACAAAATCAATCAATCGTTATTTGTATCAATTTCCGTTTTTACAGTAACTCTAATAGCAAATTTCGATGTAAGGAAATTCAATATTAGGCCAGATTTACAAAAACAGTTATAGAATACTTCAAAAAGGACATCAATAGATTCAATTATTAACAACAGATTTTTAGCAGATTTTGATGACAAATTCATATTTTTATATATTTATTTTCATTCCCTTAAAAGACATTTCTTGTAACTAGAGGCTCCACACCCTGTTTGCTGATGCAAAGCCAACCCGCAAAGACTGCTATGCAATCTCATATGGTTTGTTTTTCAAAACCAGCTTGCTTTGCTCGCTCTTAAGTCAAACCCATTTGAAATGTGTTTCAGTGTAAAATCTTAACACATATTGTGTGGCTTTGAGGAGAACTCTTCCAGACTAAAAGTCTGGGGCAGTCTGCTGCTATGGAAACAAGCGAGAGCACAATTCTAATGGGGGTGCAATGGAGGAATAAAGGTGTCGATTGGTTTACTCACACTAACCTATGCCAATATCAAGGCAAAACTACTCACCTCACACCCCTATTTGAAGTGACTTTTCCTCGTAACCATGGTACCCGCTACAATGTGAGACTGATGTCCGGAAGAGTTCTCCTGAAAGCCGCGATATACAATACTAGTCAAAAGACTGGTTATTGTATAGTGCATTGTATTGTAAAGTGTTGGTATGTTTAGTGTTAAGAGTTTCATTTTTAAAATCTTTAAAATTATTTCTTCTTTAAATAATTAAAACTTTAGTTAATAATAAGTTATGTAAATAAAAAATATATATAAATTGAAAAAAAGGCAAGCGATAGAAAAACTTATAGAAACTAAACAATATGCTTTTAAAAACAACATGTATGACGGGATGTATGCTAAGCATTCTTTCACTTTTACATCTTTCATAACTGTGATTAATGCTCTCTTTTGATCTTCGAACACACTTTTTTTAGTACACTTAAAAGGCAGAATAGCACAGCTAATAATCATTTTTCAATGAATGAAACTATTATTATGGAACCCGCATAAGCATATTTATATCATAATATGGAACACTTTGTTTGTAGATATGAACTATTTGCTTTTAACCTTTCAATTCTTTCCAACTTATAACTCATTTTGTTCAAGCAGATAAATAAAAGTAAAAAATATGACGTTTTATGATAAAAAAGAGTCTTTGCAAAATATTTTATTGAAAAATATATTTTGTCACAAAAATGGATTTCTCACAATACTTTTCAATTTAAAAATTGAGGCTTTACAAAACTCTTCTTATAAAAAACAGAGTCAATAACATCCTTAATTTATAATTTAAAAAACAAATTTCCCCTCAAAGAATGTTTATTTTTGTATAAAAAAATTTAAAAAAAAAAAAAAAAACATGGCCCTGGAGGAAAGAACTCCATTTTACAGCAATTATTAATTCTGAAATTTTGGAGAGGGTTCATGAATAGAATTAAATAAAACAGGTCCTTTCACAAAAGAATGGAAAAACCACTAGTTTTTTTCTTCACAAAAACCATAAATAACCCTTGCTTAAAAAAAAAATCCCTGTCTTTTTGCGTTATTCAACCTGGAAATTGCCTATAGCTACGTAATTTTGGTACAATTTTAACCAGGAGCTTTAAGCAATGGGGAATATAATCAATGATTTTTAAACAAGATTGTAACTAACAAATTAATTTAAACTACATAAAATTTCTTATAATTAAAATTTAATTGCACAATGAAACTCATAACATGAATAAAATGAAAAGTTTTGCATGTAATCAGTACATGGGAAGTCCCTCACGACGGGGATGACATTAAATACAATACTTTTCAAAATTTCACTGTTGAAGTAGAAAAATTTTCCTATCTGATAAGTAACTATAAAATAAATAATTTTTTAGCTTGTTTCCAATTTCACAAAATTTAAATTGATAATTTCTGAAATTTTTATTTTAATTGTCTGAAATAATAGGAGAGATTTTTAATTATTGAAGGAAACATAAATCCCCTGTCCCTCATGCCAATGATGTCCATGGTACATTAATGTGAAGTTTATTTTTTTAATGAATTTCTTTATTCAATTATTAAATAAACCAACCTTATATTTGCAATCTTCTCCACCAGAAATAATAAGATTGTTACTAGGATTCCAGGCCACTTTCAAAATTAAACCATCGTGAGCACGCCACTAAAAAAAATTTTTTTTTTAACTGTCATCAAAGATAAACATTTAGCATCTTTTATTAGACATAATTATTAATTATTGCCAAATGTTATTATATTTTTTATCTTAAAGTGTAAAAAAATTAGACTTCAGACTACAAAATTGTTATGGTTTGGTTTTCATCATTAATGTATTAGCATCTTGAGAAAAAACATCAAATTCAATTATTTGAAACATAGTTAATTAATTAGACAACAAGATGTAATCTTAGATTTACACCATCTTAAAATTTTTTTTATAAGAAATTGCCATGCAAAGATCAATAAATAAAAATTCTAAATATAATTGTTTATCTTTTTATTCAATAACCTTGATTTAGTTCAGAATAAAATCTATTTTTAGAGATTCCCTCAATTTCTGCCTAACACATTAGCATAGAATTTGAAAACCGTTACATTGTTGCTAAATTTTTTAATTTTATTGAAGTTCGTTATTTTTCTCACTTTCTTTTCTGCCAACACATTCAAATGTGTTGCCAGAAAGAAAGGGAACCTTGGTAAAAAATTTAATTAATTAATAGCCAATACAAGGATTCCTTAACTTTCCTTGGCGAAAACAATTCTAACATATATATATATATATATATCACAGGCTTTTTTGATTTCTAATGGAGGAACGGATTTGTTCCTGCAGCCATTTTCAAAATTTTTTATTTTAGCAATTCACATGTCCATTAAAAATGAACAATAATTTTTAATTTGATGGAGCTCCATATTTTCAAAATAAAAGATTTTTTATTGCATATCAGATTAAATTCTCCAGTTCTGATTTTTAATATAACTATATAACTAAATTACTCTGGACTAGAATAATAAACAATTGGAAATAAATATTCAACATCTTCAACAAAAATTTTCTACACAGTAATTTCTATCCAAATAAAATTATGATTCAAAACTGAAGCTACCTGCAGAGGTTTAGAGTTTGGCTGTAAAGGTTTTATGACGAGCTGGCGGCTTGAAGTGTGTAATATTTGGTCTGAATTTGGTCCCCACGCAAGAGAATATATAGGAAAGCCTGAAAAAAAGAAAAAGCTTAGAAGGGGGGAAAAATGCTTTAACACAAATTAGATCAATTTTCAAAAAAAAAAAAAAAAAAAAAAAAAAAAAAAAAAAACTTTAGTGGAAAGATTTTCTATGTTGATGGAAGAATTTCACTATAAAACTAATCAATACACAAATAAAAGTACACATTTCAATCCATATGTTGTTATTGATAGATGAAATCTGAATTTCTATAGAATGTCTAGTCATTGTAATCTATCCTTAAAACTGACAAGTCAAATATGAAATACATATTTTTTAACTTATTGCCCAGGGAATGATAAACAACTAAGTGGCAAAATATGAAACAATTAATATTTCATTCATTACCAAGACATCAAAAAGTATGCTATTAAAAACCTACAGGCGTTCTATACAACGGCTAGGCAAAGTGTACAATAATTCTGGTATTTGACACTTTGAATAAAAATGCAGGCATTCCATATAATGACTTAGCATAATAAGAGTTCCCTTGTCTTCTGAATTGGGTTCAAAATTACAAGAATACGGAGTTGAACATTAGCAGTAGTAAACCCAAAAATTGGGTATGCTGTTCAACGACGGTTATAAAATAAAATAAAAACTAAGGGGCTAAGCTCTCTGCTTGCTCACACTCACCAACCCCAATGATTTCTTTGCAATAGTTGCTTCTTGTCATGAAACAGTTGAAATTATTGAAGATAAACATATACAAACTTAATTTGGAAAATAAGCAAAATTAAAAATGTTATAACATCAATATTACATCAATAAATAAATAAGAAGTACAGGTAAAATAAATGAGGGATGCAAAAATATTTAAAGGAAAACAATACCCTTATGACTTATATCAATTTTATGTCGATGACAACCCAAACCAATATGAAAATTAATGTGGGAAAACTGGATCCTACTGTGTGATTTTCCGGCCAATAAAAATGCACCGACAACAATGGAAAACTGCGACACCATCATTAGATTTTTATATATAGGATAGATATTGATAGTATCAACAAATACATTATATATCAGAAGGAAGAAAATATGAATGCCGCCTTTAAATATAGGCAACAATCACACTGTTTCTTAAGTTTGCCTAATATTACTTCTTTGAAATTTTTCCTTGCAATCAAGTACATGAATTTTGGCCTATACTTACGATAATAAGCAGAGTACAGCTTCTTCATGAATAGCCCTGTAGGACAGAGTACAGCCCTGTTTGAACTATTTTGTCAACCATGGGTACTAATATAATTAATAAAGCACAAATCAATCCATGAATAAAAATTCAGTGTCAATACTATAGGTAGCACTTCTTAGTTTTAATATTATTGATACTTTGCATCAATAATACCAATGGATTTTATACTATTTTGTTCCTAAGTATGGATACACATTTTAAATACTTTGCCACTAATATTTTTCGTCTTTTAATAACAGGTATATAGTAGAATAGTAAAATAGTGTAGTGATATCAATGAAATGCTAAAATTAGTGAATTATTCAATAAAATATATAATTTTTTTTAACTTACTTGTAGAAACCAAAGTTGATCTCAGCATTCCACTTCTAGACCAAATTTTTACACTACCATCTTCACCAGCTACAAACAAAGATATAAAACAAATGTCTGTATGTACGTGTATATTTATAATGTATGTATGTGTATGTTTATATATATATACTCACACACACATACAAAGGTCCCGTACTAAGGACTCCAAATTCTTAGCCAGTAAATTAGCCAAATTTCAAAATTCTTAGCCAAAGGGAAATCTTAACAATTCTTAGAATTTATTTTTTAACATAGAGATCTTCAAACCACAATACACATTTACCATAAATTGAATTATTTTATAAAATGTGAATTCAAATCAAGTGTCCTTTTGCAGTTAAGAAGGAGAAAAGGAACAATGAATGGGTGAGAGCATAAGAAATGCAGATAAAAGATAGTGGCTAATTCTTGATAACTTCTTTGACTAGAACAGTAATATAAAGATAAACCTGGCGCAACATTATGCTATTGTCATGAGAATAGATAGAGGAAACATACGGTGGCTACTAGGGTGCCACTTAATGTATGCAGTAGTTTTAAATCACTTTTCTTGCAACAAAAGTGTTAATTTAAAGAAGAATATTTTAGTTTACGAGTAATTTTTGATTTCATTAAATTAAACTGTAGATAATTGTAATTACACACACATGCGGTATAAGCTGCATGAAATTTTAAATTTAAACATATATCACATATATTAAGGAATTATCAACTTTTATCTTTTGTTACAGAATGACAATTTTTTTTATATACTATTCAAAACGGGATAAAATATTTCATAATAAAATTAATGAAATTTTTTTTTCCAAGTAGCTAAATACAAAAAACTTATTAAAAATTTTGATTATTTTTAAAGTTAATGTTAACTAAAAAAAATTTTTTTAAACAATAATTGGCACTTTTATAGAATTGTTCACACTTAGACTTGTACGACCCTTTATTTAAAAGTATAAAAATTTTAAATGATCGATAAAATGGTTTTCATTCAAACAAAAAATTGTACCAGTGGCGAAAGCTGTTCCATCATAACTCCAACGACCAGCAAGCACAGCACCTCTATGCGCTTCAACACTTTTTTCAATGCGTCCAGTTCTGTTGATCAAGTGGAACTTTCCTGTTACAAAAATAGACAACAAATGAGTACACTTTTTCTAAAAATGTAATAAAATTTTAAATTTATTAGATATTTTCATAAAACATTAAATTAAAAGATTTGAGTGGAGAAAATGAGTCGTTAGAGTTTAAGGAAGTAATTTTTGAAAATTTTTATAAAATCGCTAATACAGAATTTGTCAAAAATTGTTAGTTATTTTGTGAACATTATTTTTACAATTTTAAAGTCGTCAATACTCCTATGTATGAAGATATTCAAACCCAAATCTAAAGTAACATGCAGCTTTTAAAATTCTGCAAAATAATTACATCAAATTGCTATACATTCAAAAATATAGGAAAGAATAACTATTAATTTTTTGGTAGTATATCAAATGTTATTTAAATTCATTAACTATTAAAATAATACTAAACAACTTTAGTTTCTTCCGGGCATTTCATCCACGACACTGGCAGTAATTGGAAAAAACCAGAAGAAAAAAAAGAAACAACTAATGACCAATACAATTGTTTAGCAATAAATATTTATAAGAATAGCTTAGTAATATACAGAATTTTAAAATCATTATATCAAATTATTTGAGAATCAGTTTAAGAATGAATACCTATAAGTATTTGGTTATAAGAAAATAATATGCTATTGGCAATTGTGAATTCAATATGCGATTTGTAGTATTGTAAATATGCAATTTATTAATTTAGGAGCATTAAATAAAATTGGCAATGATATTTTAATAGTTCTTTATATAATTATGAAATAAGATTTTATTAGACTCATTTGTCTAAAATATTTAATAACAGTTATTTTATTATCTTTAGAAATTTATTAAACTCATTTTTCTTTGCAATTATTGCCTTTATTTAAAAATGAGGTACAAAATTGCTTGGAAATAATTACTATTATTTAAACTAGATTTCAATTACAAACTATTTAAATAATACTCTTGATAATTTTTTTTTCTTTTCTTGAAAAAATTTCCTTTTTTTCTTCCTTTCCACTTCGGTTGGAAGAAACCTATTTCTTCTGAGTTGTTTTCTTCCATTGTGGAAGAAACTTGCCATACTTGGTACAAACAAAAATATATAAATATAGATATAATTTCAAAACAGTTAAATATATAATTTAATTTGTTTAAACTTAATACTTTTCACTAAACAAGTCATTTTTAGTTTTGCCAATTTTTACGGTGAAACAGGATTTGCTTAAACGAAATTTTAATACTAAATCAAATATAACTTCATTCTCACCATCAGTAGTTGTTATGACAAAAACATCTCCACCAATTTGTTTCTTCAATCCAGAAGGATTTGATGTTTTTAATATATGCATATCAGTTGGAAAGAGATCATTTGAAAGGGTGAGCAGCTTAGTTGTTTCATTGGTGATAAGATTCCAAATCAACACCTCATGATCATCAGCACACGATAATACTTCATCTGTCGTATTCCACGCAATGCAACTTACAATGTCTGAATGTATTACGAGTCAAGGCATGCACACAAACTTAATAAATTAAAGATTAATACAAACAGAAACTTTAAAATTTGTTGAACTAAATAAGAAATTGAAGTAATTATCCATAATCAGCACCGTGTGTCGACGATTTATTTTCTGAGTTGTAGCTAACATGAATATTGGTTTTTATAACTGATAAGTGACTAGAATCCAATTTGAAAAGAAGGTGCTATTTTTTGTGGTTTTATAAAAATAGGGTCTTTCTTATCTAAGGTCTATGTGAAAATTGCATCAATTGACTTTTAATTTAAGTTTAACAATAACAACAAAAAAGAGTAAATAATATTTAATAAAAGGTTGATTTGGTAAGTAATTTTCATTGATGCTCGTATCATTACAGCACGCGATATATTGATCATCAATGCAGCAATTCCATATTAGAATGAATGATTTTACCAAACCTCAACATGCTTTTGTTGTTTTAATATTTGCATGTTTAAAATAATTCGGTACATTTGCGATTATGGCTTGTATAACTAGATACTGATATGAAAATATTTCCTTGGCTGGGGGGTGGCAATAAGTTATTGCTTTTGAGTTGGTCGCCTTTTAAATTTTTCTTCTTCTTTTTCTGGCACTTTCTTCTCGAAACCCATTAAAACTTGGCAAATATTTTGGCTCAGGTAGTACGGTTATATATAATATTTCCCATCTATAATTTATCTCTATAATCCCATCTATAATTCTGTATCGTGGCAGGATAATCAAAAAGTTTTGACAAATTCGGGGCAGTGGCCTGAGAGAAACCAAAACAAAACAAAAACAAAAAAACATTGCAAAAAGAGACCGACTCAAATGGTGTAACTCAAAGCCTCACCATTTAAACATCTACATGCATTTTTTAAAAAACAATTGCGAGTTTAAAATCTATTTGGCAACTTGGAGATTGTAGTTGGCGAGACAGATCACGATACGGAAATATCACCAAAGACTAATTCAACCGAAACGAATATGGGGATTATCTGTATCATAATCTATCACCAAGGCACCAAATGGATTATAAACTTGCAATTTTTTAAAAACAACATGTAGAGTTTCACCAGGGGTGACTACGAGTACGAGTAGGTAACTTTATGCGATGTTTTTTTTTCTTTTTCTCGTGGGCTGTAGCCCGAAAGTTGCCACGATTTGACGATTATTCTTCCGCAGATCACGATATGAAAATCTTCTCAGGCAATACTTTCATGTCATTGAATAACATCATTCAAATAAAGATATTATGAATAAACTAAAATATAAAATACGAAACATTGCTAATAGGACTGTCAAAGAGATATACACAATCAAAACACAAATAAAGTCAAAAAGGATATGCCGAGGTTCTTTTCCGAGATATGTTTTAAAACGCATTCTTTAAAATAATAGATAGAACACTCATTTAAATATTAGTCGAGTTCATTTACTTCAAAAACGATGGTTTTCGAAACTAATTGATCCACTATAAAACATGATAGTAAGTTTTTGCAAGACTGGTTATTAATTTAAAGATTTCCATTTATAAAATTACAGCTATTGTTTTACTACAAGCAAAGTTACTATGGAAACCAAAACATTCATCAACAGCAGATGTTTTATTGATATATTAGCTTCTAGCTTTGAAAGATTTGCCCCATGTGCGCGAATAGGGATTTCTACTACTGCATTGGTCTATTCCAACTTCATGCTGATTGGTGGATGCCGATTTGACTGGTGCACGAATTAGATAACTTCTGAGCTCAAATCTGCCGTATTTCATTAGATATTAATGTTATTATGTAATTCTGGAGAGTTTGGAGTGAAAATTTGTTTTAGTTATTTTGTTATTTATTATTAAAAAAGGTGACATGGTTGCTAGATTTTGAATAACTCGCTTTTTTGGCAGTCTTGATTTGGCCTCTTTCCATTTGTTTATTACTGTTTGTTCGTGTTGCAAGCTGTGCACCATCTTACGTTAGTGTTAACACTTTTAGTATTGTAAACACAAGTATTGTTAGCATTGTAAACAT